CCCCTAACTCGAGCTGCTTCTTAACCTGCTTCTCGAGCTCCTCACGCTACTTTCCGGCTCGTAGGGCCGTACTCTCGCCTTGAAAGGCCTGCCATGGACTGTGAATCTGGCCGCGTACTTGACTCTCGCAACTTTGGGTTCCTCCCAGGTGTTGCGGTATCGTTCCAGCAGGCTCCACAGCTTCCACCGGCTTCGTGGCTCCATGTGTGTGGTTTCTTCCTCGAAAGTATTTTTCTTTGTCTTTCGTAGTTAGTCTCAACAACTACGGTCGGGGTGGTGATGACTACGGGACTTTCCAGGTACCGTGGTTCTGCTAACCTCAGTTCTTCCAGGTAGCCTCTTTTCGCGCAGAGGACGTGGCGCTTCGTGGGTGCGGGTGCGAGCAGCTCGGCGTCTGGCGTGCCCAACAGGTCGGAGACTCCAGACTGGGACATCACTGCGAAGCCAATCCGTTTAGTATTGCTCCCGATGGTCGTCGTCGCTGGAACACTGAGGGGTAGGGTGCCGGTGCCGATAGCCGTCTCGACCGGGATCGTGTCTCCTGATAGCGGTATCCCTGCCCGTTTCCTGTCCGCTTCCTGCAACAGGCTCACGTCGGCTCCGGTGTCCACTAGGAAATCTAGCGGTGCCTGCTCCACCAGGGCTCTCACGCAAAAGGGGGCTGGTCGGCCAGTCCCTTCCCTGTTGGGGCATTAGCCCGTGCCTCTAAGGCTTCCAGTCTCTCCAAGAGCCTTTCCATGTCCGTTGCGCCGTCGGTCCTCTTGGTGGCATCCGTTCGGTTATCTGGGGACCTCTCCTCCTTCCTGCGGTGCGCGTCCTTTCTGCGCTTGTTGTCCCAACGGCCCTTTTCGGTTTGGCTTATCTCCCTGGCGGTGGTGAGTCTATCCCCTGTGGTCACGTCGCCACCAACTCTCACGAATATGGTCCCACTCTTCGTTTGAGTCACGGAGTGCATGGGACGTCCATAACTATCCATGTAGTACCGGGTGGGGCACACTCTGGCCCAGTGACCGCGTTTGCCGCAATTGAGGCATGTTGAGTCGCGTGCTGGACATACGCCGTTGCGTGGGTGAGGGTACCCTCCGCAGGTGGCGCAGACAGGTGAGCCGACTTGCACCTCGCCTAGCTGTTCTTTTTCAACCATCTCCGATGGTTGCTCTACGGGCGATTGTTGGACGTTTACTGCCGGGTTTACAACGGCCAAGACACGCGTCTGTGCTTCGAGGTT